TCTCTCTCTCTCTCTCTCTCTCTCTCTCTCTCTCTCTCTCTCTCTCTCTCTCTCTCTCTCTCTCTCTCTCTCTCTCTCTCTCTCTCTCTCTCTCTCTCTCTTTCTACCTATTGATCTCTTCCTGTCGTTATCAAGCTATGTCTCTAGCTATGTCTTCGTCCTCTACCACCCTAACTCTCTTAAGAAGCACTGAAACAAAAGTATGAATCTCAGATGCCTGGGTTTCCTTTTATCTCCTCTATTTCCATATATCACACTTGATACCATGAAAATCTCCCAGTTTTTTTTTTATAATTGCTAATATTTCGAAACGCATCTGCATTAGGTCTAACACGACCAACTTATGACCGTCCCATAACCCAGACCATTCCCCCTGCAAATTTGGGTGAAGCTAGTCCCAAGAGTCTGGCCTCCAGCTTTGAACATACACAAAGACAGACAAACACTATATATACGCCCGAAGATGCTCTGAATTACAATAACACGACTTAACAAAGGTCATTACATCACTCTCCTGTTTCCTTATGCGCTAATGTTTCTCCACTCCATGAAAATGGGAAACAGTGTCCTGTGTGTGTGTGTTTGTTTTCAGTACATTAAATAGCGTTTAACGGAATTTATGCTTGTAGAGAGACTGTTGGTTGTCCTGGAAATAGACAAAATTCGGGTTCCGAGAACTCCTCTCGTGGGTCTGAGGGTCCCTTGCAAGGGCCTAATATCACACAATTTAGGTTCAGGAGCTCAGGCTCGACACAGGACGTGTGTAGTAAAGATTTTGGTTCAGGTGAAGAGTGTATACCGATTATACTCCCTCAGTTGTGCAGTGAAGAGTGTGTGGAGTGAAAGACCTGGGTGGGGAAAATTGTGTGCAGTGAAAACCCCCTGTGTAGTGAAAACCCTGTGTAGTGAAGATTGTGTGTGGTGAAAACCTTATATAGTGAAGATTGTGTGTAGTGAAAAACCTTGTGTAGTGAAAACCCTGCATAGTGAAGATTGTGTGTAGTGAAAACCCTATGTAGTGAAGATTGTGTGTTGTGAAAATCCTGAATATTGAAGATTATGTGTAGTGAAACCCGAATGTAGTAAAGATTGTGTGCAATGAAAACCCTTTGCGATGAAGATTGTGTATAGTGAAAACACAGTGTAGGGAAGATTTTGCGTAATGAAATCCCTGAATAGTAAAGATTACGTGCAGTGAAAACACTTTGCATTGACGATCGTAACTCTAATTTACCCGTATGTAGCAAAGATGGGCAGTGAATGAAATCGTACTTGTAGTGAAGAGGTGTACTTCAGGTGGTCGCGCATGTAAAGATATCACCCGCGAAATCGAGAGAGAGAGAGACTCTTGGGAGTACCGGGTGCTCGCACAGGTCGGTTCCTGTTCACTACTACCGCTAATAATATTATTATTTGATGTAATATACATTTGTATCTCTCCCCGTTGCTAGTTGACACACACACCGTGACCCATAATACTCATGCACATCACTACTACCTGAACTTATCACTAATTTGTATACATTATCTCTGTGAAGAAGAGAGATAATGATATAATTATTTATATGTAAAGCTTTTCATCATATGGAAAGCGTCTTATCTGTTACGATAATGATAAGCTTGTCATACAGGATCAGGATGTAGAGAAGAATACAAGACCAAAGTTAACCTCTGCTAATACGCAGTCTCACACTGGAAGTCGCTTGGCGTGACCGTCTTCACTCAAGACAAACTCAAGGACTTCAATAACACGATGAGAAAATAAGTACAGATATATAAGAGAACATAATGTAAGTTTCTAGTAATAAGCGAAAACAAGTTGTTCTTGAATCTTATAAGATAAGAAGCGTGTTAGCGAAAACATTCAAATATCAGCTTCAGTTTAAGAACGATGTAGAAGAGATCGGAGTTGAGCTTGATGATGAACGGAACTGTGGAGGAGAGTCCTGACACCACAGTGCCTGAGGCGTGGATCGTGGCGGCTCAAGGGTGGGCGTGGACGGTGTCCTGCGTGGGCGGCGTCGGTAACCTTGTCACCATCTCCACCATCGCCCACCAGCTGTACCTCGGACGGTTGTGGAGACGACACTACCAGTGTGGCCACAGGGCCGGACGTCCAGTGGTCGCTCTGGAAGGTGATACATTACTTCTGCTGCACCTCAGCTTCTGTGACTTCCTCTACTGCGCCGTCAACCTTCCGTTAACAGCAATCACTTATAACTACGCCATCGGACTCTCAGACACGGTGCCCAGCAAGAGTTTCTGCACGGGTGCTGCGTTATTCAGATACATCAACGCCCTGGCCGAGTGGACAACGCTTGGTCTGCTGACGGTTCAACGCTGTGTGGATCTGGGACGCTCCAGGGGCGCTAGGTTCTTCAGACCACGCCCGACCATTTCCTTCATCGTGGCCATCTGGCTGGGCAGCGTCCTTCTCCAGATGGACGCCATCGTGCAGGTCAGTTGATGACCACAAAAGTCAACTTGTATTGTCTTTATGTTGAAGGCCCTCACACGCCCACCTATTTCTATAAATTTTTGTTCTACATTTTCGCCTCTCCTTCAGTACATTTGAGGGAGAGTTCTTAATTCTGTATTCTTAAAGAGGATTGTGTTTCTAATTCACCAATGAATAAATGGATGAACATTTATCATAGTTCACCATATAATCCACTTTTCTGTTTCGTTGTCTCTTGGGCATTACCTTGAAGCATTCCCACTCCAAAATACGTTAGATTAGAGCTGTTTCTTATTCCCTCTAAGAGTGTAGGAATTTAAATTATATTAAAATACATTACATTTCCAGTGTGAACAGTTTTTAATGTTCACAAGGAAATCACAATAACGTTATATATCGATGAGAATAACTTTGTAGCAAGACGGATCCCTAGATAAATAAATCTGGGCAGATCCCAGGATAAATAATCTTTAGCATACAGTGGTCCATGGGTTAAGACCCACGTCTGGGGTTTACCCAGGATGCTGGTTCGATCCCCATCCTTCTCCAAAGACATTTTAAATGTACTAATGTTAACGAATGCAAAGTCTGACAGTCTGTGTACGAAAAGCTAGGGGGTTATGGAACAATTACAGTGGCTACTTAAAGTATAGTCACTGAGTCGACATGAAATTAATCAAAATAATGTCACAAACATTTATTACTTCGGCTGATATTCCATTGAATGGAACCAAGTTGAAACGTTCGAGAACGTTTCCTTGCACCTAATGGGGCTGTTCATCCGGCAACCGTAATCAGGCAACCCGTTCTCGCACTTTCTTACAGTCAATATTGACTTATTAAATAAGTGCATATGTGACATACTAATTTATTTTGAATATTTTAGTTTACCTTGAAAAGCTTCATAGAAAGCACCGACCTTACCTAACCTTCTTAATATGTTAAGATAAGCATCTTATTGCTTCGTAATTACAATTATTACTTAACCTATACCTATAATAGGTTATACCTATAATAAGCATCTTATTGCTTCGTAATTACAATTATTACTTAACCTATACCTATAATAGGTTAAGTAATAATTGTAATTACGAAGCAATAAGATGTTATATCTTAACATACTAAGAAGGTTAGGTAAGGTCGGTGTTTTCTATGAAACTTTTCAAGGTAAATTAAAATATTCACAATAAATTAGTATGTCACATATGCACGTATTTAATAAGTCAATATTGACTATACGAAAGTGCGAGAACGGGTTGAATCAGGAGTTACGGTTGCCTGGATTTAGTCAACTGTTGTGGATTGCATTTTATGGAAGGTCAGTCATTGGTCTCTAGACCATTTAGCTCTGTGTACTTCCAAACTTCTAATGTTCTTTCGAACCCTTTCCACCACTCACGCTTACCAAGACGTCCTTAAAAGCTGACCTTTTTTAGTTTTATTAAATAATAAAAACGTTCTCCTGAATTGTAGGTTAACTGTGCAATTTATTGCAGAATCAAATCATTACCTTAAATTTGTATGTGAATTTGTACTCATCTGTGTTTGTACTCACCTGTGTGTGTGTATTCACCTGTGTGTGTGTATTCACCTGCGTTTGTGTTCACCTGTGTTTGTGTTCACTTGTGTTTGTACTCACCTATGTGTGTACTCACCTGTGTTTGCATTTACGTGTTTATTTTGCATTTTGATTTTGATTTTAGATGTTAGATTTTGCATTTACGTGTATATTTACCTGTGTGTACGCGCCTTTGTGTAATCACCTGTGTGTGATGGAGTTTTTTTTGCATCATTCATCGTAAACTTTCAGTGCACAATGAAAATGAATAGAACAGTGAATTGTCAATAGAACAATGAAAATCTCATATATATATATAAGAAAATACTGGAGTCGTACAATGGAATCGAACCCGCGTGTGCCTGGGGAGTCCAGGAATACAGGTTCGATCCCATCGCACTGCTCCAGTAACTTTGTCACTAGCTTACAGCTGTAGGGAACTAGCATGAAACATGCATCTATCTCATGTCACGTGCGATGGCTGTTCCTTACAGGGTCAATACAACTACGACCGCACCACCTACAAGTGTGACTATACGAGTGTTAAGGCACGCATCTACTTCTACTGCCTGGAGTCCCTCCTGCCCTGCTGCCTCATGTTTACTGGCAGCCTCAGCATCATCTTCCAGATCTGGAGGAACACCAGGATGCTGCGAGCTGCTGGAATGTAAGGAACGAGAGTACTGCGTTACTCTCCATTTGGTGCCATGAATCGGGATCGGGTGTAGGATTTATGGAATTTGTAGAATGGACGCGTAAGTCTCCTCTCTCGACCAGCCCTCACTATTAACTGACGCGATTGATTGATTGATAAAGATTAAGTCACCCTAAAGGTGGCACGGGCATGAATAGCCACGTAAAACTGACGTGATACGTTGCTGTTGTTATAGATTCAGATACTCGGAACAAGTTCCAATTAGCACGGGCTATGGTGAGCCCGTTACTTGCCTGGTACAGGAGCGGGGCAAGTAGCACGGGCTATGGTGAGCCCGTAGTCTGACGCGATACAAACACCTGCTTCATATATACACTCCAGGGGGTGTATCCCGCTTCTCGGTGTGTACTTGCGGGCTGACCCAGCAAGCTAGCTAGTGTCCTGGTCTTAATAACCCTTGTGAATTTGACAGGTCATAAGTCCAATACTAAACTATCATGGTATCAGCATATGACTTTCTATTCCTGTATTTTTCATTTGATACAGCTTATCCTACTGTATTAGATCAATTCGCATTTGAATGCTTGTCATTTTCGAAATATTGTTCTTAGGATTCCTTTCAAGAAGTGTTATTATTAACATATCTCTAGTTATTCAACTTTATATGTCAACTGTTAAGTTTGATTTATATCCAGGCCCAGTTTAGAGAAATGTACTGTAAAATGGACATAAACTCACATAGAAGTTTACAAAGAAGAATAAAAACGTTAATCTTGAGCATTCAGATCCTTATAAAAAACGACGAAGAAACGTAATTTTTCATTCTCTAGAAAGACAGAGCAGCCATGCTATAAAAGTTAGCAAGTCCTTCACTGCCCACTGAATCACTTTGATGGGAATATATCGTCTCTGACTCTCAGCCCTTGCGCTTTACTTCATTTATGAATTATTCAATGACATTTGCGGTAATTGTTTGTTTATTAATGATGGTAATCAGTGTCTCATAAAATGAACTTGTGGAACTAGGGGGGGCGATATTGTAAAGAATAATGAAGGCAATGCGTCATTGGTGGAGGGAAGTGAGGCACAAGGTGAGGCTATGGCGCAGCTGTGTCGTCGCTGCTGCCACCAATTTTCATTTTCCACCTTATTTTCAAGTTTCACCAGGCACACAGTGTGGCAAATTAATTTCCTCTCAGTAAATAATTGCTGTTTAAAGGTTTAAATATATGTATATCTTATATTTGCCCTATAAAAAGTTATACGTGGATTTAATGCATAACTGCAGCCTCGCATTGATTAATATAGGCCTTCTGCAGTTTAATGCATCCTTATGTTATCTCTGCAGGCCAAAGGAGCTTGTGCAACAACGTTTCTGCAGGATGCTGAGGTCTACTGCGCTCCTGCTGGCACTGCTGCTGCTCTACCTAGTCTGCGTGATCCCTGTCTGCGTCTACAGCGTGGTATCAATAGTCACCGACGATAAACACGTCCCTCTCGGCATCGCCATCTTCATGAACTACTGGATCCAGTACGGCATCAACTTCCTCGTCTACGCCGCCAGCAACGCCAACTACAGGAAGGCTTACAAGCAGTTCTTCAAACTAATTGTGGAACAAACTTGGAAAACATATAAATCACTTATATGTAACTGTAGTAAAAGTCCATCTGTTTTGCAGCTATCATCTGTTATCGTTCGAAGTGGATCTGTTGCCATTCTGCCTCTTCATAGCTCACTGGGGTTCTCTGAGTCAGACCCTGGAGCCGATGGCTGTATATTGCCTCCTCTCGGCTTTCACTTTCTGAGCAGCTCCTCCTGAAATGGAACTCTCTCTCACAGAGGTCCAACAGTCATACTAGAGCACTTCTAGTAACTGAACTCCTTCTTCCAGGGGCTCAACAGTTACACTGGCCTACTTCTAGAAACTGAACTCCTTCCAGGGGTACAACAGTCATATTAGACCACTTCTAGCAACTGATCCCAGTCTCCCATATGTTCAACAGACACTGTGGATCCCTTCTAGTAACTGAACTCCATCGTCTATGGGTTTAACAGGTACAGTGGATCCCTTTCAGTAATATAATTATCTATCAAGGGTTCGACAGTCATAGTGGACCCCTCTAAGTAACTGATGTCCCTCTCCCAGGGGGTTTACACTCACGGTGGACCACTGCTCTCAATGTTAAAGACGTTACCGTGCACACCATCTTGAAATACTCTGTTACCAGGCAGTAAATATGAAAGGTTATCACAATGAGCAGTGAAATCCTTTCCTGTTCCAGACACACTCAGATGTAAGCCATGCAATTACTTCTTTATTCACCCCATAGAAATTGTATATGAAATATTAAAGAACCGTCTCAATTATTATGAGTGAGGAAAGGACTGGATGAAAGGTGTTTGCACGAAAAGAATGAATGTATATAAATGTAATGAATATGATAATACACGAGAAGCACTGTACACCTCGAGAAAATAATATTATTATTATGTTGCTGCTATTTTTTATTAAAATTTATTATTATTAGGATGATTAAATGTGGATATTGTGTCAGTTGTTTTAGAGCTGTTTATTGAGGAGTCCAGATGTACAGTACCCTCCACTTATCCTGCTGGTTAGATTGGGTTAACTTAAGTTTGCTTATGATGGGTTAGGTTAGGTTTTTAGCTTTCACTAGCACTATAAGGGGTTAAGTCATTCACTCAATATGCCCAAACCTTGACAGTGTGCTCTGCCCAATCATAGGCATTTCTCCATAACGTGTTCATTTCTTACTATAGTCTCTTAATTCAATCCATTGTGTTTATTTTTACTGCTGGAATACCCGTCTTGCCATACAGTCACTTTTCTCAAGTACACAACGGCAGGCACCACAACCCCTTCCTTTCATGTTTGTTTTCTAAATAGGGATTTCATTGTACCAGGCATTTTCCCAATTAACCAAGCTGCCATCATTGTAACAACTCGAATGATGGATACATGAATAACAACCTGTACGCATTGTGAATAAACTAGCCCTTCTGAGTATGTTTCAGCGCGTGAGAATCTATTCTCCAGGAAATGATAACACAGTCACTTCATCTTGCACTTCTTATCTTATCACCAGCAAGTGTTTGCAATGGCTAATTCACTTACGTATTGCCACCAATTGCCGAGATGTACTGGTATTGGGAATTCATGTTGATTTGCTAGGCGTAAACATGATGCTAGTTAAACAAATTATAACCACTTTTACACAGCTTGGTTACTTTAAACCATGAGAAGAATTGATGACTAATTTGTCAATGATTGTAAATACAGGGAGAAGAATTTTAAAAAATGAACTTATTTTAAATTAATTACGTATTTTTTTACAGGAATATGCAAATAAGTAAAAATGGAGATATGTCATATTTTACCAAAATTCAGCTTTAGTTCGAAGAATACGATGAATATAGGAAATATGACTCCTGCTCATTATTTTTTTAGTGTAATTCAGGGTGATTGCATATATCAGAAATTTTAAATTGCGTCTTTTTATCCGGGAAATATTCAAATAAGTGAAAACAGAGATTTTGTCATATTTTACCCAAATTACCATGCAGTTTCAAAACTACAATGGATATTTAAAATCTGATGCTTGAGTATTTTTGAGCGTAATTGAGAGTGATTGCACATCCTTTGGACTTTCCTATTGAGACTGTTTATAAAGATAATGGACCAGAAAAGAAAACAGATTTTTTTAATTTTCCCATATTGACATTCAGTTTCAAAACTACGATGAATATTAAAAATATATTACTTGACTGCTATTTTTTAGCATAATTGAGGGTGATTGCACATATTTAATGCTATAAATTAAGTCTTATTATATTTTCTTGATATAATATTATAAATGTAATGCCCTACATTAATTCATAATATTATAGCAGAAAATTTGTTTTATTTCTTCATTATTTACATATATTTATATATTTATTTATATATTATTTATATTATATTTTCTTGATATAATATTATAAATGTAATGCCCTACATTAATTCATAATATTATAGCAAGAAAACATGTTTTATTTCTTCATTACTTACATAATTCTGATAACTTTTGGGTTGTTTAGTGTAGTCATGATTAAGTCTTTGGACCCAAAATATCCCAAAACGTTTTTAAATTCTGTAAATTAAGAACAACGCAAACATATTTTCGAGCAATACTAATAATAATAATAATAATAATAATAATAATAATAATAACAATATTAATAATAATAATAATAATAATAATAATAATAATAATAACAATAATAATAATAATAATAATAATAATAATAATAATAATAATAATAATAATAATAATAATAATAATAATAATAATGAAATTTTACTGTGAATAAACATAAATTTATTTAGAATTTTTTTAATACGTTATGAGATCAAATTAAGTGATTCCAAATGAAGTCGACGATGTAAGCGCCCCAGTAAAGTGAAGCGACTTGTCCATTGTACTGACACACTAGCCGGCGGATTCACTCTACCCGTGCTACATGGACATTTCGTTCTGAGTAGGTAAATCTAAGACAACAGCCGTCATTCGCACTTCTGCTCGCTTTTCTCCTCAAACTGTTGACCATTAACTTTATTTTTGATTTAGTGTTTTATATATTTGCAAAAGAAGAACTTGTAATAATCTGTCAGCAGATGTAGCCAGAGTTGCATGTCACTTGTAATGTAATGAGTCAATTGGCATGGTAATTTGGTAATTTGCAATGTAAATAAGTAAGTTGTAATATAATTAGTTCCCTTATAATGTTATTAGCACTCATTTAATATTATCAGATAACTTGTAATGCAATCAGATCCATTGCAATGATCAGATCTCTCACAATGACATCAGATCAGCTACATTCTCATCATTGTATAATTTTCAGTTATTATTAGCAATATAAAATGTAATCAAACTAATCAGATGTCCTCAAACAACAGTATCAGGTCATTTACACTGTTATAGGAAATATTAGGGGGGTTTCTAAGAAATGTTAGAGTGGCATTAGAAATATTAGGACGTCTTACGAAATATTAGGGTTCTCAAGAGAAATATTAGAATATCATAAGCAATATTCGGGTTGTCATAAGAAATATCATGGAATCATCAGAAATATTTGGGTTGGCATAAGAAATATTAGAGTTTCTCGTAAGAAATATTAGGGTATCATAAGAAATATTAGAGTTGTCATAAGAAATATTAGAATATTATAAGAAATATTAGTGGTATAAAAATAGTTGAGGTGATATAAGAAATTATACCGTATGAAAAGAATGATGAAGGATGGCATAAGGGATATTAAGAAGTCATGAGAAATATTAGGGTATCAGTATCTTATTTATTGTGTCAAAATGTCATATATACCTCTCTGTAATAAAATACATAAATCTTTTTAAATGTCTTAATATCCTTAAACACGGCTTAAACCGTATTAAACATGCCTATAACTCATTAAACGTGCCTATATCTCATTAAACATGCCTATATCTCATTAAACATGCCTATATCTCATTAAACGTGCCTATATCTCATTAAACATGCCTATATCTCATTAAACGTGCCTATATCTCATTAAACATGCCTATATCTCATTAAACATGCCTATTTCTCATTAAACGTGCTTATATCTCATTAAACATGCCTATTTCTCATTAAACATTCTCAAATTTCCTTAAATATGCTCAAATATCCTTAAACAAGGCTAAAACCTCATTAAATATGCCTAAATCTCACAAATATTCCTCAATTTCCTTAAACTTGCCTAAGTGTAAGACATTCCTTAAATATCCTTAAACATGGCTATAGCTTTTTTAAAACTGCCTTAATATCAAATAATATTTCAAAATCTCATTAAAGCATGTCTAAACTTCTTCAAACATGCCTTAATCTTTTCAAACACACCTAAATTTCCTTGAACGTTTCAAAATCTCATCAAACATATCTAAGCTTCGTCAAACATGCCTTAAACTTTTCAGACACGCCTACATTTAATTAAACATGCTATAATATCAATCTGATATATATTATTTTATCTCTTGTCTTCGATTCGAGTTCGGAGGGGCTGTCATCGTCCCCAAAAGGAGGCGATGGACTCCTGGCTGGACGCCACGGTACAGCACCCCTGGAGGCCACGAGGGGTGAAAGTACTGCCAGAGCTGCATTGAGACGATCTGACACTGTGCCGCTGACTTCGAGACCCGGGGCACGGGGCTGGCTGATGCAGCAGAAGCAGCAGCAGAAGGAGCTGCTGGGGACTCTCACTGGCCTTCTTCCTTAGGGTTGTGTGGCGTGGAAGAGCCATGATAGTGACAGTATGCAGGTGGGAGACTGTTAGCAGGAGGTGAGACATTTGTAGCTTGCAGGGATCGTTTCTCGCTCTTGAAGGGGAAACCTTGTCCCGGGCGAACTGGAAGAACTGCTTGTACGCCGTCCTGAATTTGGAGTTGACGGCGGCGTAAACCAGGAAGTTGACGCCATACTGTACCCAGTACAGCATGTAGATGGCTACGTTGAGAGGAACGCTTACGTCGCCCGTGATGAGCGTCCTGACGTTGTAGACGCAGATGGGAATGACGCAAACTAGGAAAAGGAGGAGGAGAGCGAGGAGGAGCGCAGTAGACCTCACCATGTTCCTGCAGCGGCTGGCCACGAGCTCCTGGGGCCTGGGTGCAACAGGAAGAATTATTAACCAGTTGTAATGATATCGGTGAGTACATTGATAGCATTCAAGTGTGAGATTAGTGGTCAATGTATTGACGACGATAATATAAATCAAGAATATTGCCAATAATAGTTTTAA